GGGGGGGGGGACGGACCTTCTTTTTTAATTAATTAATTAATTGGGGTTTTTGAGCTAGAGTCTTACCATGTAGTTCAGGCTGACCTTGAACTCACTATGTAGCCCCAGGCTGAATTTGAACTCACAGCAATCCTCCTATCTCAGCCTCGAGTGCACGGATTACAGGTATGCACCACCACACCTGGCTAAAGACTCTCCTTTAACCATACCTGAATCTGGATCCTAAATTCTGACTAGGCCTGATTTCGGATTTCCTTATAGAATCCAGGGCCAGGGATTTAGCTCAGTGGTTCCACCGCCTGCCTGAGGACCTGAGTTCGATCCCGGGTACCAAAAAAACCCCCAAAACATTACAGTGTGTCCTTATAGAATTCATGTTGATCAAGAATCCTGTTTAAAAAAAAAAAAAAAAGAATCCTGCTAAGTGAGTTCAGTGGAAGTTCTTCACCCTTGTATAGGACACCTTTAATCTTATCACTCTGGTCTGCCTTCAACAATAATCCTATCAAGCCAGTTGAGTCAGAAACTCTCCAACCCCTCAGGTTTCTTCTTAGCAATTTTCCATTTACTCAACTCTACCTTGTCCCTTGGTTATAAACTTTCACTTGTCCTTGCTGGAGTCAGAGTTAAACCTGATCTCTCTCTTTCACTGTAAGACCCCAATGCAGTAGTACCTATACCTATCACCATTGCTTCCCTTTGAATAAAATCTGCCTTCTCATCTTTAACAAGTATCACTGAATAATTTTCTCTTTAACAACTTCACAGGTCTAATTTTAACCAAATGTTTTCATTTGAACCAAAGAAAAACAAGTTCCTTGGTTTTTTAGTCAAGTGAATATAAGGTCAAGGAAGTTTATGTTGATTAAAAAAGTCCCAGGCCGGGGATTTAGCTCAGTGGTTCCGCTGCCTGCCTGGCAAGTGCAAGGATAAGTCCCAATTACCCCCAGGCATGATGGCACATGCCTGTAATCCCAGCACTCCAGAGGCTGAGATTGGCCAGCCTGGGCTCCATGGTAAGTTCAAGACCATCCTGAATTACCTAGAGAGACTGTCTCAAAAAAAAAGTTCCAATTTCTTACTTATCTTCAGTTGATAATTTCAAGGATGATCATTTATCCAATCATTCAGATCGCACAAATTTATTTAGTGCTTACTGTATCCCATGTTAGGTACCAGGATGCAATAGTGAAGAAGCCCTCATAGTCCCTGCCTTCTAGGAGCTTACAGTGAAAAGATATTCAATAACCTAGAAGGAAGGGAGGAATATTAGCTACATGCCAGATACAATTCTGTTTAGCACATATTATCTTGTTTTATTTAATCCTCATGACTAGAATTTTTAGGCCCATTGAACGAGTTACATACACATACACAAGTGCTCACACCTACCCAGATACACACACACACACACACACACACACACCAAATTGATTAAGATCATCTGTTTTTACATGGATGAGCATAGTATGATCCTTTTATCAGATGGTGCATCCTGGGGAAATCCTTTCAAGGTTCCTGGTGTCCTGAACAAAGAATTGGACAAGACACACAGAAAAGGTAGCAGGATGTGAATTTATCAAGGTAGAAAGGTAGTATACTTCCCGGAGTGCAAGCAGGCTGGTGAACAGACTCACAGCACCCCCTAGGATAAAGGAAAGTGATCTTTTGTATCCAAAATTCCTGGATTGGCTTCCTTTCCTGAAAGTAAGGCATTGGGACAATTGTCCTATCAAAAACTCACATGGCCTGGTGCCAGATTTAAATTGCCCTATGGAAAGACTCATTTGGCTTCCCACCAGATGTAAATGAATTGAAAATAGTGCTTTTCTGATTGGTTCCATATACAGTGCTCAGGAGCCACAGAGTCATCTTGGAACCTGTGTTCTGTGCATGTCCCCTGGGTGTGACACAGTGTACCCACCTGTTTGACAGGTTTGCCCCAGCACTAGTCTCTACACTCAATACACTTGTGAGACACTGGGCAGCAGCAACAAGCCATAGTTCTCAGTCAGCCATATGATCCTGAGGGTCGATAACCAAGATTCTACAATGTACGGTCTTGCTAAGATAGTGTCCAGTAGGTTAGGGCATTAAATGCATTCTGACTTTTGATATTTTCAACTTACAATTATTGGGAGGTAACCCCATTATAAGTGGAGGAGCATCTGCAGAGCACTACTGCTTAACTCTCATGATGTTTACCACTGAGTTCTGAAATTATCTCTTGCAATGCCTTTTTAAAAAAGTGGTACTAGAGATTGAACCCAGGGCCCTATGTGTGCCAAGCATTATAGCACTGAGCTACACCCCCATACTCTGAAACTGTCTTTTTTTAAACTTTGGAGACAGGGTCTATCTATTCCAGACTGGCCTTGAACTCACTATATATAGCCTAGGCTAGTCTTAAACTCACAGCAATCTTCCTGCCTCAGCCTGCTGAATGCTGGGATTACAGGTATGTTCCCCTAAACCCAGCTTGAAACTGTCTCCTTATATATTTATCTCTTCAACTGTATTCTTTGCTGCAGGGCATATGTATAGTGGAATTCCAATAAATATTTATTAAATTTAGTTCACTGATTTTTTATCTCTTACAAGTTCTAATGGTACATTACCAAGCTTTTTCCTGTAATAGGATCTTTGCATAATTAGCTCTGTATGGAATCTTTTTCCAGATGATTCCAATCCTCTCAGCAGGATTGCAGAGATCTCATTACCCTAATCAGGATGGTGCACAATTTAAAATTTAACAACTATTTATTTCTGGAATTTTCCATTTTTGGACAGGGGAAGAGAGGGGAAAGAGGAAGTAAAAGGAACCAACTCCCTAAGATGAACATAATCATTATGTACTGCAAACATGTACTAATAAAAATAAAAATTTAAAAATATATATTTTGGGGACAACCATTGCTGGTGGATAACTGAAATCTCAGAAACCAAAAGTAAGCATAAGTGCAGATTACTATATGAAGGAGGACCTATTGGCCAAGAGTAACTTGAAGAGCGGAGAGGTCAAGACACCCTCCTATAAGAAAGTACAGCTGATCTAAGTCTTGATAGAAGGAATTGCCCTGAAGAAATTGTATGAGCATACACACAAAGGCTGGGAAATTCTGGGAAATCACAAGCAGCTAGCAAAGGTGGAGAATAAAATGCAAGCCTGCAGAGGCTGCAGGACCAGAATGTAAAATTTGTTGTGTGCCACAGAAGTGAGATTAGAATTATTCCTGAATGTCACAGAGTTCTTGAAGGATTTTAAGAGTTACAAGGGACATTATTTGCATTTCTGGGCAATCATTTTGACAATGGCACATTGACTTGGGGGAGGGGAGTTGAGACAGGGTCTTGCTGTGTAGCTCAGGCTGGCCTCAAA